TGGCTGGCCTGCCTGCTCCGAAGGCTTTTCCTAATTGATTTACAACACTTTCGAACCTTGCCCAACACAGAAACGACAAATGCAGGGCTCCTCCATGCCTGGCCTGGTATGGCACTGGCTTCCTCCTCCAAGTATTTGTTGCTCTTATCTGTATCTTGCGAATACTAGCACTTACAATACAATATTCTTCGAAGGAACAAAGGGAACGGGTTACGCGACTGGTGCTGTAATGGGGGGGTCGCTGGGGCTGCATTGGGACTTGCTCAACGCTCGATTGCGCGACAATCGCAATGGGACCATACATATATACATATACATGCATGTCTATGTGTATGTGTATGTGTATGTGTATGTGTATGTGTATGTTTATGTGCTCCACAGCTTATCATTCAGTGTGTGTACACACATGCGAGTGAGTGTGTCTCCCTGGGGTCGCATTGGAGCCTGAGCATTTTGCAAAAATAATTTATGGCAAACTGTTGATTGTTGACAGGGGGGCCCCCAAAGCAGCCGAGCAGCCGAGCAGCAAAGCCAGCAATAGGAAGGAGGAAGAGAATAGATAAAAGTAACAGAAAAGGGGATAACAGAGATAACAGCAACAGACCGCTTACGTGCAACATTTGTGAAGCGCATAGAAAGGCGATTGCTGTTACCAAGTGGAAAACCCGTTTTCCCAGCGATAGAAAAACATTAGATATATGGCCAAATTTGCTTAATCAGATAAGAATACGGGCAAAGGTTAACCAAGAGAGAGAGAGAGAGAGAGAGAGAGAGAGAGAGAGAGAGAGCTGTACAACTGAAAAACCTATATAGACTCGTCTGCAAGAATATATAAATATATATATCTGAAGTTTATGGGAACAGATTCAGCAGTAACAAAACCAGTTGAGATGGGCGGTGATGAGCCCCCGGCTCACTCGCCTTCATGCAGTAGATCGACTTTTCAGAGTTGTCATTGTTACGGTGGAACCGATGTGCCACGAACCTAAGACCCCGTCCATGCCCATATCTCTAGACCCGAAACATAAGCTCAGCTGTCAGTTCCATTTAGGAGTTAAGCACGCTGCTAGAATTTATCATTAGTTTCTGTATAGATGGTCCGACATACATACATATAAGTAGGCATGGTGTATGCTATACTATATAGATTAACAATTGTAATCGCGGCTGTTGTTGATTTCTCCAAGCGAATCGAAACGAAACGCAACGAGCAAAACAAAACAAAAAGCGAACAACAGCCAGGCCAGCGACAGCAACCGACGGACCGACAGACCGACAGACCGACAGCCGACAACTTTGGTGTTGATGTGTTTTCAAAAACATTGCGTCATTCCCAGATGGCAAAAGCCGAACCGACCCCCTGCATCAGGCCACCAGTGTGCTATGCTCTGGCACTCAAACGTGCCGCACCGTACCCCTTCTTCATCGGACGAGACCAAAGTTGGGTCCAAGTGGCAGACGATCGAAGCAGCGCTGGCTGCCGCCTGCCCCAGAGAGGCAGAGCACGTCGTTGCTGGATCGGAATCAGAATCGACGATGGGTTTGGTTCGTAGAAAAACTCAGAAAATTCTACGAACTGAACTTGGGGTTGTCGTCGTCGTCGTTGTACATATATATATATATATCGGAAAGCAAACATCAGCTCTGATATACGAGTAAACATGTGCATAGATACATATGTACATATATATACATATATACTAAGTATGTGACTGTATGAACATGATTGATATTTGCTTGCCATGATTACTCTGTACTCGCAAAAGTTGTGATAAAACTACAACTACAGCACATCAGTGTGTGGCCAGATACTTATAGACAAAGAGGCGGAATCACAGAAAAGCTACGGGCTTCACTATATATGTACATATGTTTGTAGTACTTGTACTATGTACTATGTCATAGTATCTCCAGCAGGATGCCCTAGAGGCATGCAGCTATTATTGGACGAGGCCCGTAATCGGCATATTTCAGACAGTTGGGCGACCATCTTCAAGCATTGATGCAAATTGGAGTTTGTACTCTTGTAAGATTATAATTACTAGGAAAGGCATTGGGTTCGGTGATGGCCTATGGGTATTGGAAGTTGCAGATGGGTATGGAGTGAAAATTAAGATAATTTCAACTATTGATGGACTTTTCCGTTGCCGCTTCGTGGGAAAGGATACCTCAATTAAGATTTACCCTCTACCTATCAGTTTTAAGCAGATCAGACTTCAATAGCTCGTCGAAAAAATGTCATGAACAGAAATAGAACGTTTACTGGTGGATCAGTCATCTGGGCTTTAAGTTTACTATGTTTTGAAAGAAGAATAAACCCATAACTGGGCTTGGCTCCCACGGCGAAGACCTTGCCTTGGGCTTTGGAATCGACCTGGATGTAGTTATAGCACCTTCTCAGCGATATAGTCCGGCCAGTACTGATCCTGTGGGACCAAAAAGGCAGAAGCAGAACAGCGACCACTCGACTAGAGTGAGTGCCTGCCAGGCCTCTGGTCATCTAGTCATCCTCAAGAAATTTTAAGGATCACAAAGGCAGTATTCGAATCCGTTTATATCCAAAAATATAAACTATAATCTATACATTTTTTACTTACATTTTTGTCTTTTTTTAAAGTATTTTTATGGTATTGCTGCTTGCATTGTATTTGGTTGTTGATTGAAGGTGTGTTTATCACACCTTATGACTAAAGATTAAGAAAATATAGTAAAATAAGTAAGGAAACTATATGGAAATTGCCCTGAACTAAATGTTTGAATCATTATCATATGTTTATTGAAATGTTACCATTATTTTAGCAGCCATTTGGACGTCATATATGGCCATAGCCTTCCTAGTTTTATAAGGCTTGTTGTGAAAGACCTAGATCAATGTGAGATCAATAGAAATTTTCATTTTATCAGTCTGTTTATCGTCGTTAGCACCGGCTGATTAGGTTCAAGTAAACATACTTCTCGGCTATAAAGGAAGTAATTTATCACTTATCACAGCTCGATGGGAAAACGACAGCAAACCAAATACTAAAATCGGAAATCGAGAGCTTTTCATGTCACTGATAGCAGTGCTCGAAAGTAAATGTTTACTCCACAAATAAATAATAACTTCTATAGGTATTAATATACATATGTATCTGTCTTTCTCTCCTTTGATTTTTTCTGATGCGAAACCCCACGTAAGTGTTAAAAATTGATCATATTTGATTAAGAATTGTTGATTTTCGGTTTCTCCTAGCTATAAATGTAAATAAAATAGTTTTAAAAGTATCTTGAGAGCTACATACCTTAACCATTCCTTAGTTTTAATCTATTTTCTACATATTATGAAGTCTAATTGCCGCAGACAAATTGCCTTAGGCATAAAATTTGCTTAAGGCGATCCATAAAAGCAGAATTAACCATTTTCTGTATACATGCATACATATTTCTGAATTGTTTATTTAGCAATTAATGTTTGCTTTGTGGGCCCCCCCCCCACTATAAAATTGCCTAGTTCTTTGATACAGTTGAGAGCGTTTGTGATTTATGGACGAGACCCTCAGCGAATGTGCGAGTGGGGATATGAATATGAATAACCGTATCGAAGGCGAACAACGAGCCTCATTGTTCTGGGCGCTTGTTGCTCAATAGCTCCTACAGTCGGAATAATTAGCCAGTCCCCCCCACCCCCTCCACCACCGGTAAACAATTGATCTCTTTTTACAACGCTTACCCAATAGAACTGAAAGTCGTAATAAGGCGCAATAATATTATCAAAAATGAGCCATTACAATGGGTTTATTTATCATTTTGTTGTACAAGTAAAATAGAAAGTGATGATCGACAAAAACTAATACCAAAACCTAAGTTACAGATCATCTGAACATGATTCTTTCTGAGGATATCCCCCAAAATAGGGCTATAAGAACGGTTGAAGGGTTGCTGGTGTCCCTCACACTTTTCCTCCTGTTTTATTACAGTATCCTTTCTAAAACTGAACCACATGGATTTCACACCCGTTGATGAACGAGCATCTTGCTACATATTTGCTGCACATGATGAATATGCAAATTTGGCATCACACAAGCCCAAACCCAAACCCAGCCCCAATTCCCCATCTACCATCCGTAAAATGAATAAATCCAATTTCACATCATTTTCAAAATGAAATTCAACATTTCCGTAATTTATTAGGCTGCTGCAAACACATTGGTTATGCATAAAAAAAAATTAAGATTTACACATTTCATGTTCCATTTGTCTCTCGTGTGTTTGTTGTTTGTTTTTGCTTTTAGGCTATTTACAGATTTAGGATTAAACATATGGCTCTCTGCTGCATATGCGGTAAAAAGTTAATTAAATTTACATGTTGCTAAGGCTTCATTTGTTGTATGCAGATTTTTGCAATTGTTATATGCACTTTTCTGTTTCTTTTTCTGTTTCTGTTTCGCTTTTATTTATGCATAAGATAACAAGACTTAATTGACTAAAAAAAAAAAAATAAAGGCACCTGAGTTCAAATTGTTATTGCCAAATTTATATCAAATAAAGTAAAAATAACGAAAAAAAAATGTATATATATATATAATCGAATAACGATGATAATAAGGCATATATATATATATATATATATATACATATGTATATTCATATGGTGTATAAAGACACAATTAACGTAAAGCAATTATAATTAATTCATTTTATTTAATGGTATGTTTGTTGCTCCACCACTCTTCTATTGATTGACTGACTTACTCTCGCGATATCCCCAAGATATCGGTGTATATATGTATATCGTGTAGATAGATAGATAAAGTGTTTTCCCTGAATGAAATGCTCGATATGTGCCCCGCCCCTGATTTCCAGTTTAGAATTGTTGGCTCTGGTGTTCCCCCCCCCTTGTTGCTTTGCTGACTAGTGCGTTGTCTCTCTATCCTCTCGTCCTGCATCCTGCATCCCCCTGCATCCTCTTTTTTCAACCTCCATTTGGACTACTACTACTACTGGCTATGGTTCACACTCTACTACTGCATCTTATACAGCTGCGGCGGCTCCTTGGTGGATGGTATACCCTGATCGTAGGCACCGAGTTCCGCCTCGTAAAGCAGATTATTTATGAGGTGCTTTACGGCTATCTTCGACTTCGAGGTCTTTAGTTTGCGGATTGTGATGGCCACGTACTCCCCGAATACGCCGTACTCATCCGCATGGTTGGCGCTCAGCCCGGTTTGCTTTGACGGTGTGGCACCGCTGCTGCTGGAGCTGCAGTTGCTCGATGTTACGGCCGTGCCCGTGGGCAGGTCCAAGGATGTGTTGCTGGTGTGGCAACTGGAACCGTTGTGGTTGCTGCTGTTGTTGTTGCTGTTTTTGGTGGTGTTGCCTCCTGCCAACGCTGAGAGATCACGATCACGATCACGTTTTTGTGCCATGTTTGTGGAATGTTTTTGCTGGTTTTGCTGCTGTTGCTGCAACGCTTGATTTTGCTGTTGCTGTTGCTGTTGATGGTGCTGGTGCTGGTGCTGGTGCTGCTGTTGTTGATGTTGCTGCGGTTGCCCGTTGCAATTGTGGTTGTGGTTTAAGTGCTGCTGCAGCGCGTGAAACGCGAGCTGGCCGTGGTTCATCTGCTGGCCCTGCGATAACGACTGTGCCGTCGCCGGCGACGACGATGTCTTGATGGGCGTCAGTGTCAGGGCCCCCACGACATGCTCCATGCCCAGGACCACGCCCGCACCATTCTCGTCCAGCGCCTTGCGCTTCCGATGATTGTAGGTGAGGTCCGTTGGCTTGTAGTAGTTGATGGGCGAGGGCGTACTGCTCTGTCTGTCCAGCATCCCCATCTCTGATTCGTGCTCTATCTGTGGTAGAAAAGGCGAAAACATCGAGGGTTTTTTTTTTAATAAAATGGGAAATCGGCAGATCTCTTCCTATCTTAGTCAAGTCTGTGCGCCTGTTTCATCATTCAAAGATGGGTCTGTCGAGGAAAACACCGGAACCTGTTCTACGTATGTATATATTCATCAAAATACCCAATGACATTGGCGTCTGACGAAATCTGTGTCAGGTTATTTCATCAACTAATCGCCAGATGAGCATCGCTTTATATTCTAATAATATCGTCAGTCATTCCGTAGGTCTACTCTACGTTTAAGGGGGTAGAGGTCGTACCTTGATAAGGCCCGAAAGTCGAGTCATGATTATGTCTGGGAAAGTAGGTACATACATACATACATACATACATACATAAATATGCACTTATAAGGAAAGATGGAGGTTTTGGAAAATCCAATTAAATTATCTATAATTTTCATTATGTTATTATAACTAATTCGTAATGACACAACAATATCTCCAAATGTATTGTTTTGGAATCCCATGCCATTCGAAAACTCTACAAATATTCTCTAATTACTCCCACGAACCCACTTGATTTGACGGCCACTCTAAAGTTAACATAAAACAAGTTTAAATTACGCTAAACAAAAAAACAAAAACACAGAAAAACTTCAACCTGTCAGATCAATTAAAGTGCGATTAACAGTCGGATCGGAGGGTACTTACAATTTCTGTTTTCACATCTTCGGCGCTGATTCTACAGTAATTCTCTCCATCCAAATCGGAGGAGGAACGTGTCTGCGAAAGATCAGAAAAAATGAGAGAATTAGCGGAGAATTCGCCAGACAAACAGCAACAAAGAAGGAATAATAATAATAATAATACTAGCAGAGGTAGATCCAGTCGGGTGGGACGGAGTTGGGAGGGCGACAGAGAAATAGAAAACAAATTAGAATAATCATAAAGAAAAGCACACAGATGAAAAAGCTCACACAGATGGGGCCCGAGGCCCGAGTCTGAGACGAGTCGAGTCGAGTGGCGCAGAGTCGGCCCGCTGGCGATTGAATTAGTCACGGTGGGGCAGGGCGGGACGGATCGGATCGAGAGGGACCAAGTCAACATTGAAGTGGACCAACGGGTAGACGGACAGACAGACAGACAGAAAAACAGATAGACGTGAGACGAGTAACCAAAACACACGAAAAATCAAACGAAAATAACACAAGAAGCAACAATACTTTTCGAGAGGCATCGAATTTTGTATACCCTCTTAAAAAATTATACCCATCCCATGAGAATTATGCTACGTTGTTGAGCACAACAAATCAAAACTGGATTATCCACAATATATATGGAAAAATAATGAATGCTCTTTCAGTTCGTTCTCAATCGATCCGTCCCACCTCCCTCTCTGAGCAGCAAGCTTCGCTCCTTGCCAGACATACCTATCGCGGCAGGGTATTAAACAAAAACCGAATGAGCGAATGAAGCACAAAGCAAACACCAGCAAAAAGCAGCAGCAACAAAACGCAGTCCAGCCAGCCAGCAACTTGCTGTATTGGAACTGCTGCTGCGCTGCCGAGCTGCTGCGGTTTGGGGGCGGCCAGGCATTGATGAGAGGATGGGAGGGCGGTGATAAATGGGAAAGGGGCAGGGTCGGTGCAAAACGTGGGGCTGTCGATTTCTACGGCTGATGCAACACACATACATTTATGCTGTTCGTGCACGTATGGTTGTACGTGTGTCTATTTGTATGATGGTCGCAACAGAAGCAGCAGCAGCAGCAGCGCAATCAAAGCCAGTTGACACTCACACCAGTGAAGACTGACGCCAATACAAGCTTCTCAAGCGCATGCGACGCAATAGCCACGATTAAGCACAGTGGGACCATGCGATCAGCACTAGGAAAGTGTAAATATTTTGGTATATTTCAAATCATATGTAAATGAATGGGTACATATGAAGCAATCGGAAATTTTTAATTGGATTGTCAATTGAAACATCATCATCTCTTTGGATGCAGATGGACAGTGTTCTTCTTTGAAGTAAAACCATGATTTAGAATCAAATGTTATATACATAGCTTCCATAGTACCGAAAGCCTCGAGCCCTTGGAAACAGTTTGAAGAAATTGAAATCTCGCCCCACTGTGCGCCACCGGTTGCGCCGATGCCTCTGCCTCGCTGCTGTTTCTGAGGAACCGCTAGACAGCGACAGCGCGTGTGCTGCTGGCTGCCGCAAAACAAGTCAAACCACACTCACACACGCGCACACGCGCGCATGCAAAGCTCAAACGAAAAGTTTACACATACACATGCACTTGTATGTACATGCATACAACAGTGGACACATGTGTATGCAAAATATGTAAAATCAATAGAGTTAGAGAGAGGGGGGAGTGCTTACCACAGTTGCTGAGGAGGGGGGACGACGGCAGCCTCCGCCAGTATCGCCGCTCTCGTCGAGATCTTCCTCGGCGCCAACAGCATTCACATCCCTGTCCAGACTGAGGTCCCGCTCTAGATCCCGGTCGCGATCCCTGGCATTCGCCGCTTCCGCAGCCGCGGCCGCGGCCAAAGCGATGCGGGCGACGAGCTGCTCGCATTGCTGATCGACAACCTGTTGCTGCTTTCCCGCGGCCGCCGCCGCAGCCGTCAGCTGTTCCAGATCCAGGCTGTGCATTAGCGCCAGCTTCTCGTCCGTCTCTGTATCCCCGTCTGGATCGCAGTGGACTCCATCGACGGTCATTACGGCTATGTCGCCGTCCAGCGCACTGCCACCGTCTCGCTCTCCGTCCAGAATGAAGCGGATGGCCTCGTAGGCGAACCACATGGGCTGGTAAAGCACGCCCCGGTTGCGCCCGCTCAGCACCTTGCCGTGCTCCCGGTGGAAAGAGCTGCGCAGTGATTTGATCTTGGAGCGAATCGAGCGGATCTCCGTGCCGTACTTCTCGCTGAGCAGCTTCAGGGCCTCGTACTTCGTCTGCTTAATGTGGTAGCCCTTCGTGTTGGGGTCCCACAGCACCCGCTGACGCCGGTAGTCCTCGATGAAGCCCAGGATGGTGGCGCGCGACCATTCGACACGGTCGACGGGTGTTGGCGTCGGTGTTGGGGATGGCGGCAGCGCCAGTGGCAGCGGCAGAGGCAGCACTATGGCATTGGAGTTGGCATCGAGCTTGTACTGCTGCTGCGCTGCTGCGGCGCTGCTGGACATCGTGGTGAAAGTTTTCCTGTGCCCGCTCCCCCTTGCAGCTGCTGGTTGTTCTCAATGATGGGGCTGGTTGGGTGCTGGTGCGGTGGTGGAGGTGGAGGTGGGTGCAATGAGGCTGAGGTGGGTAGGAGGTGCAGGCTGCTGCTGCTGCTGCTGCGGCTGGAGGAGGTGGTGGTGGGAGAGTAGAAAGAGAGAGAGAGAGGAGGCAGCAGCAAAAAAGGCGAACGCAACGCGACGACGAAAAAGCGTCCACAACACGTTGCTTTTGACTTTCGACTGAGGCGGCGGCGGTGGTTGGCGGTTGGCGGCTGCTGGTGTGTGGTGTGGTGTGGTGTGGCAGAGGAAACAGCAGCGGCAAGTGCGGCCGCGGGCAGCGGGAGCAGGCAGCGGCGCGTCCAAACGGCAGCTCAGCTGCACTTTGTGCGAGAGAGAGAGAGCGAGAATGTGAGCGTGGAGAGCGAGCGCAGGCAGGCTGGCGACGTCAACGCTGTCGCTTCGTCCAAAATCAACGCAAAGGTGTGCGACTCTCTCTGTCTGTCTGTCCGTGTGTCCGTCTATCCGTGTGTGAGTGCTGTGCTGCTTGCAGCGGTGGCAGCAGGCGGGCTTTTTTTTGCGCGCCGACGGAGACGAAGACTGAGAGACCTGTTGTTGCCCGACTGATAATGCGCGCTGCTTTGTTGTAGTGTTCGTTTCTATTTGTTGCTGCTGTTGCGCTATCAGCTGTTTTATTGCATGTGGTTGTTGTTGCCGCACTACGTGCGACGCCGCTGCCACTCGGCGGTTGCTGTTGCCACTCGGCTGGCGGCTACTTTGCGTGCTGCTATTGCTGTTGCTGCTACGATCCCCAACACCAACACACGTTCCTGTTGCTGCTGCTGCTGTTGCTGCTCGCTCGTTTTGTCGCCGCTTCGTCGTCGTCGGCGTTCGGCGCTCGTCGTTCGCTGTTGAAATCACGATTTGTACTAATTTCACATATTTAAACTGTGTGTGGCATGCGCGCTGCTCCAAGCAGCGGCAGCGGGGCCGGTTGGTTGCTGGTTGCCGCTGCCGCTGTTGCTGCTGTTGGCCGTAAGTTCGTCACTTGCTTTTTCGCTCCTCCGCCCCTCCTCCCACTACCGCAAAGCACTCTCCCTCTCCACTCTTCTCACCACACACTCTCTCGCACACACCTTTCCAACCTTGTGCTTGTTGTTGCCTCGCTCGTGTCGCGAGTTGCGATCGCTGCTGCTGCTGCCGCTGCCGCTACCGTCAACAGCAACACGTTGCACAGTGGGCACCGTTTGTTAGCTGGGCCTTCTGCGCATGTGGCACAGGGCTGCCAAGAAAATTTTCTGGCACTTTAGCCACAAAAGTGATGGCGACCATGATGCCTGCCTGGAGAGGCAAGCATCCATATACTACGCGTATATACACATTAATACCTATTAATAAACAGACATATGGGTGGACAGTGTGGCAAATGTGACTGTATTGTGGCATGTCTGAACACATGCCACAAAAATATTTGTCTTGCAAGGCGTGCGAACATTAAAATGTACCACTCCAAACATTAATATTTGAACATTACTAGACCATAAGGATATTAATATATCGATATTTAGAAGCTGAACAGCTCACATAATATGAAAATCCGAAAATCCCACATTATCCACTGCACTTTAACAATCCCATGCCTTATGTTCTTTGCCCCACTGTGTTTCGGCAGTCAAAGCTGTAAATATTGTTGCTGTCGCTGCCTGGTCCTGCCCTACCCGCTCCCTCCTCGCTTAACACTCAGCAACACTGAGAGAAGTTGTTATCGTTGCTGCCGTCGCGTTGTTGCTGTTGTATTTGGACAAAGTAAAAACGAATAAAAAAGGTAAAAACCGAAACGCCTGAAAACACGGTAACAAATTTAGCGAGTCAGCAAAATAACAGAAAAAGAATCAAAAAAGGAATTGCATTTCACGGCGAATATGGATGTTTTTGGGTTTCAGTAATTTATACCCTACACTGAGAATGCTAATATTTTGCTTAGCTGTTTGCAACGCAGCGTAGGAAACATCTTCAAACCAATCGGAATACAAGTCTTTGTAAGAAAACTTGTCAACCAGGCAGTGCATTTTCATTTCGATCCAGATAACTCAGTCAAATTATAATACATCAAAATCGGATCAGAGCTGATTGACTTGCAAGGGTATTTAGGCATCGGTCTTCGAAGCTGACTCTCCTTGTCGTTTTTGCTTTTGTTAATCATGAGGATGGTGTGTTGCTTGATCGGCGAGGAGAAGGGGGGAACGTTCTGTGGCTCTGAGACCCGAAGTTGCCGTCGCTCACGTAGGCGCAGCGCAGCGGCCACTTGTGTTCGTTTTGTTTTTGCATTTACTGTTGACATTAGACTTTATGGTTGCTTGCGACCTGCTCTCCATATTCTCTCTCTCTGTAGCTCGCCTACTCACTCTCTTGCTTTGCGTGTCCTCAGCACGTGCGAATGTTTTCACATTTCGCCGAATTTCGATGTAACTGCAAGTGTGCAGTGTGTGTGTGTGTGGGACAGAGACAGGGACAGGGACAGGGACAGAGTGACTAGGGCAGCGAGGGCTTATCAGTTTGTTCAATCTCTCTCTACCGACCTCCAGCTTTCGATGTGCTCTTGAGCTCCATTCCTTCCCTTCCCCACACTGCTGTTTCATATTGCGGAAGCTTTCGCGACTGCCTTGCCTGCTTCTTCTTATTTTTCTCTCCATCGCGCCTTAACGGCTCATTATCAGGCACTGCTGCTACCGACGGGCGGCAGCGACGTGTTTGCCGCACCTACGATAACGGCATTAAGCTGACATTTTCATGCAGTCCGGAAAACCGGCTGTGTGGACCGCTCCTTGCAGCCGATTCCCCCTCCTCTTCAGCAAGCATAGTGAGTCGCAGTCCGAAATTGGCTCTGCCTGCGTCAGCGTTGCGGTGCAGAGATTTTTTTTGCCATCAATTTTCGCCTCAAGTTGACAAATTGACGTTCAAAGTTGTTTGCGCTGCATTTTTAGCCACAGTTTCGGTTGCGCTGCCTGTTTTTCCTCCTTCCATGCCCCCACCCGATTCCATGCCTCTTCAGGCAACACAACCAACGGTATCCAACCATATCGTATCCATTGCTCGTTCCCGTTCTGTTTCTGGTTCCTTATTATGTTATGATTTTCCGCACTCTTGTCATTTCGCGCTACCTTTAAATGTGATTGGCAGAGAGTGTGAGTGCGGGAGAGCGAGCGGTTACTTGTGTGTGTGAGTGTGTTTGAAACTGACGACGTTACAGTGGGTGGGAAAAGTTCGTGAAGAAGCAAGACGCCCTGCCATTGAATGCCAATTTAAAATATACGTACATATAACATAGGAATTAAAGAATAGTTGTTGGACAATTATCAGCTGATTTTCGTTCAACTATCCTACAAACTGTACAGCATAGGTTTACAATATGCGTAAGCATTATATGCAAACGATTTATCAGCAGCTGCAAACTTTTTTGCGCCACTGTTCGTTTGCGGAATACATAAATTGCAATTTCTGTTCCTGCTGCCGCTGCCTCAGCTTCTCCCGCTGCCGCTGCCGCTGCCTGTGCTCTGCTGTGCTGTGCTGGTACTTTTGTTGCTATTTCAGTTTGTCATTGCCATCTAAAATGCATTGAGCTGTCACATTAGAGGAGCAACTCGATACGTCAGTCCCCCGCTGCTATCCCTCTCTCTGCCATTCTCCATTCAGCTTCACTGCTGCGCTCTGTTCTCCTACTGTCGCTCTCTTTTTCTTCTTCTGATCACATCACCTTCCTTCCATTAGTGGACCCTAAGCATTTTACTCAAAGTCGTGAAAGCATTGAAAGCTCTCCTTTCTTCTGCTCGTTCTTTTTTGTCAATCAATTTCGAAGGTGTTGCTGCTGCGGATGATGTTGTTGCCTGTGGATGTTGTTGGTGCTGCTACCGTTTGTCGTTGCGTGCACTTTTGTGGAAATTGCTGTTGACGTTGGTTATATGGAATACTTGTAAGTAAAAATACATATTTTTATTCAATTTCCAACATCACGTCGGGACGTCGCCACTGTCAACGCTGCAGTCGCAGCCGGCGTCGGCATCGACGTCCGCGTCCACGTCGCTGTCGCTGTCATTGTCTTTTGTTATTTTTGCAATTGCCCTGCTCCCCGCCTTCTACTCCACCCGCTTTGTGTTTTTCTGATGTTTTTTCTACTCTTTATTTCGTTGTTTTTTTTTTTTTCAATTATGCATCGTACAATGCTTTTCTCTCTCCTTTTTTGCACCTCTCCGCCCCGGGGGGGACAGGGACAGCCGTGCAACGGTTCAACTGTTTAGCCTGTCGCGGATTAGCCGCGCAGCTGTCGCTGTCGCAGCGCTGCAAAAGCATTTCCTTGTGCCCGAAGCTCGGTCCCCGTCCCAACGGTGCTCTGCCGCTGCCTCTGCCTCCTCTAGTTGCCTTCTAAATGAAGTGGGCTGGCAATTTTGTTGCAGTACAGGGTAGAAATAGAGCACTAGGGTATGTTCCGTTTCCAGGCGGAAGGAAATGGTTTCAAATTTGTGGCTTCGTAAGAAATGTAGTAAATACATATGTTGGATTTATATTTCTTAAAGTTAGATTATCTACATATAGAGTACAAATTATTCGTAACTGACAGGACTGAATCCCTCCTTGTAGGTGCTTTGTGGACTAAATTGATTAGAGCCATGTTCTGAGTAAACCTGAGTGGTACACATATCTACATACATATATATCGTATTCGAGCAGGGTATTCCATAGTCGGAATATTGTAGATATTTCCTACTTGTGTTGTGTACCGGGCTAAGCAGCTCCTGAGTGAGTGAGCGTTTACTTATTTACTTAGTTGCCTGAGTTTTGCAACTGATGCGTATCTGATGGCCGGACTGGCCTGGACTGGTCGGGGCTGTTCGGGGCCTGGTCCGGGCTTAGGCCTCGCCTGGGTCTAGGTGCTAACGGGAAGTCGCCGTTGAGTGAGCGGCCAAAGGAAGTGCATTTGAATGAATGCACATCTGATAAAGCCTAATACCCATAGACAGCCAACGCATTTGCACTCCATATCCCATGCCCCCCATTCTACTCACTCGAGTGGCCAGCACTTGGGATCTGTTTAATTAACTTTTTGTTTTGCACCGATTTGTGAAGGTTGAGAGCTAACGCCAACACAAGCCATGCGAGGCGTCCAAATGATTTGTGGCTTTGCCAGATGGAACAGCTCCAAAGAGGCTCTGTTTTCGTTCTGAAAGGCGTCCAAAATATGTCATTGACAGAGGGTTGCATAATTTCTTCTGTCGATATAAGTTTTTGAATACTGCTGGAATGCATCCTGATACTGTGACGCAAAACGTATTGTCGTACAGAGAACAATAAAATTTCTCCCTATATATAGACCATATAGACCTGGTTATGCCAGGAAACTATTATAAAGAAGATACAAATAGTTTTCATCTTCATGAGAATT